CCCCCGGAAAGGCACCTGCTGTTGCTGTCCTTAAAGCAGACATTCATCTGCCCCCGGAGCTTCATGTTATAAGGAGATGCGCAGTGCACTGCACAGTAATGTATGGCTGCTAGAGTTGGACCAAGAGTTGCTTTCGAATTAGGGTGCTGGAGGAGACTCTGGAGAGTCCCTTGGACTGCAAGGAGATGGAATCAGTCAATCCTAAAAGAAATCAACCCTGACTGTTCCCTGGAAGGCCAGATCCTGAAGCTGAAGCTCAAAGACTTTGGCCACCACCAAATGGGAAGGGAGCACTCACTGGAGAAGACCCTGATGCTGGTCAAAGAAGAAGGGGACGGCAAAGGAGGAGATGGCTGGACAGTGTTTTTTGTTGTTGTTCAGTCACACAGTCGAGTCCGACTCTTTGCAACCCCATGGACCAGATCATGCCAGGCCTTCCTGTCTTCCGCTGTCCTCTGAAGTTTGCTCAATTTCATGTTCGTTGCGTCGATGACACTGTCTGACCATCTCATCCTTTGCCGTCCCCGTCTTCTTTGACCTTCAATCTTTCCCAGCATCAGGGTCTTCTTCTCCAGTGAGTGCTCCCTTCTCATTGGGTGGCCAAAGTATTTGAGCTTCAGTTTCATTATCTGGCCTTCCAGGGAACAGTCAGGGTTGATTTCTTTTAGGATTGACTGATTTGATCTTCTTGCAGTCCAAGGGACTCTCAAGAGTCTTCTCCAGCACCATAGTTCAAAAGAATCTATTCTTCGGCGCTCGGCCTTCCTTATAGTCCAACTCTCGCAGCCATACATGACTACTGGGAATACCATTGCTTTGACCATGCGGACTTTTGTTGGCAGGGTGATGTCTCTACTTTTTATCATGCTGTTTAGGTTCGCCATCGCTTTCCTCCCAAGGAGCAGGCATCTTTTAATTTCATGGCTGCTGTCACAGTCTGTGGTGATCTGGGATCCCAGGAACGTGAAGTCTGTCACTACTTCCATTGAACGTGAAATTGAGTAAACATGGCGGAAGACAGGAGGGCCTGGCGTGATGTGGTCCATGGGGTCACGAAGAGTCGGACTCGACTGTGCGACGGAACAACAACAACAGTGCACTGCAGCCCTAAGAACATTCTCTGGGGACCATTCTCCCCATGATGGAAGAGGCCTGAGCCAGACTCTGAGCAGACCTGTTTAGGAGTCTTCCACAGGTCAGGGGTGTGTGTATGGATGGGGTTTTTTAAGTATATATAAGGGATGTTAATACATAAATGTATTAATTAAATAGATACATTTGCTTTGACTTTGTCAGTGCAGTTGATGGTAACAAGAAGGTAACAAAGTTGATGGTAGCATTTGTTCAGTAAAGATCCCTTCAGTGATCAAGTGATGAAGTGTCAGACTTTGCATTTTGAAGGGAAAGTCAAGACGAAGGGAAAGAATGCAGTGTTGTTTTCCAGGAGTCCCTCTGCTGAGATTTTGTTTTCTAGATCAAGTCTTTATGGCTGGGCAGAATTTATTTATTTATTTATTTGATTTCTACCCCACCCTCCCCGCGGAAGCAGGCTCAGGGCAGCTTAAGAAAGATAAAAGTATTTGCTTGAAATATTTACACCCCACCTTTCCATCATTATCACACCATTGGCCTGATGGCCATTTTCGGTTCTACTCCTGCAGCCGCTCTGAGCAGCAGCAAACCCCAAGAGGGCTGGATGTGCCCCCTGCCCTCTGATGGGTGGGGCTGGGCTTCAGCATTCTCTGGCCCTTGAGTGTAGGCAGAACCCCCCCCCCCTCCTGCCCTCTGATGGGTGGGGCTGGGCTTCAGCATTCTCTGGCCCTTGAGTGTAGGCAGATTCTTTTCCTGCCACCCAGTCTGCCACAAGGAGAAGCCACGGCTGTGAAATTCTGCCTTCTACTTTGTTACTCGGAAAGTCTGTATTCTCGGCATTTATGTCAACATCTGGCAGGGGGAGGAAGAGCTCCTTTTATCAGATTTCTGTATCCAGCTGCTGATGAAAGCCTGGGAGCAGCCCAGCTTTCAAAAGAGGGGACGCAGCAGTCCATGGCCCTCCCTGGCTGCCTTTGAAGCCTTCTCTTTGGCAGGGCTGAAGAGAAACATAACAGCAAAGTTTTTACTAAGAGATGGCAGGAAATACGTCTTCAGTGGAGTCAAGGCCCACGGTTATCCTGAGCATGCAAAGAGGACCCTTTTCAAGTCTGGAATGACACCAACAGCAGGTATGATATGAAGGCATCCGTTGCAGTGCAGAGATTGCAGTGGAGGAGACAGGCAGGCGTTCGGAGCAAAAGAGAGCCAGGCTAGGAGCAAAATGGAGGGCGGGCGGGGGGGGGAGAGACGACAAAAGGCATGGGAAAG